AGATAAAAGAAATTTGTCGAAGCAAACACATAATGCTACTTGGTGACTTCAACTGTCCAGACATAGAGTGGGATTTGATGTATTGCACGCGATCAGAAAACTCCTTCGAACAGAAATTTATGCAACTAATCACAACTGAGTTCCTTACCCAACACGTTAAAGTGAACACTCGATTCAGGGATGGACAGCAGTCCAGTTGTTTGGACCTCATCATCACCAGGGATGATAGTTGCATTCTCGGATTGGAATCGCACCCGCCCCTTGGCCGAAGTGACCACTGCGTTCTGGTTTGGGAGTATAGTCATTTTTCTGCACCCGAAATTCGAGCTGCTGAGGAAAGAAACGTATGGAAAGGGGATTATACCCGAATGAAAAACCTGTTACAGAAGGCGAACTGGAATGCAGCACAAGGACCTGACCCAGAAAGCGATTGGCTCTTCTTCAAGAACATAATGCAGCACTTGGTAGAGAGCTGTTGCCCACTGAAGAGGAAGCCGCGCAGGTCCCGACCAGAGTGGGTGACGTCAGGAACAAAGAAGAATCTTAAATTGAAAAGGAGACTTTGGAAAAAGTACGCAAGTTTTCAACAACCAGAGCATTTGGCTGACTTCAAAAAACAGAGGAATTTATGTCGGAATCTGTTGAGGAGACAACGGGCACAATTTGAGTCAAAACTTTTAAGAAATATCCCGCAAAATTCAAAAAAATTCTTTGGATACGTGAATAAAGCAAAACGCAACCGGGACTGCATTCCCTGCCTAAAAGATCGCCAGGGAAATACGTTGTCTGTCAACTCAGATAAGGCGAATCTGTTATCCGACTTCTTCACGTCTGTGTATACTGAGGAGCCGGCTTTTGATGAAAGAGTTTACCCCCCAAATGTCAAATCCAACAGTACAATTAGCACGGTGGACTTCACAACAGACACGGTAAGGAAAACTTTGAGGCAACTACAGCCCACTAAATCCCCTGGTCCGGACGGCGTGTTCGCGAAAGTTCTGAATAAGCTCTCAGACCAGCTGGCCTCTCCGTTATCCAAGATCTTCAAAACATCGATGGAAACCGGGGCTTTGCCTACTGACTGGAAGAAAGCAAATATAAGCCCCATTTATAAAGGTGGCGAGAGAACAGCCCCAAATAGTTTCAGACCAGTGAGTCTCACTAGCATCTGTTGCAAGTTGGTGGAGAGAGTAATAAAAACGGAGCTGATGTGGCACCTCGAAGAAAACAACTTGCTTAGTCTACATCAGCATGGATTCCGAAGCGGTCGATCTTGTCTCACCAACCTCCTAGTATACATGGAAAGCTGGACGAAATCAATTGACATGGGCTTATCAGTCGACGCCGTGTACATCGACTTCAAAAAGGCTTTTGACAGCGTTCCACACAGACGACTTATATGTAAACTACGTCAAGTGGGTGTGAATGGAAATCTTCTGAAATGGCTAGCCGATTTTCTTACGGGCAGATCTCAGCGTGTGTGTATCGGGAACGCTAAATCGGAATGGGCATCCGTGCACAGTGGCGTTCCGCATGGGAGCGTTCTGGGTCCAGTTCTGTTCCTTATATATGTGAACGACTGCCTGGACTGTCTGAACTGCGAGCGAGTTATGTTTGCCGACGATCTCAAATTGTGGCAATCAATAGAGAAGCCGGAAGATTCTGTACAATTACAAGACAATTTAAATCGCTTGCAAAAATGGTGTGATGAGTGGTGTCTAAGCCTCAATCGTAACAAATGCCAACTTATCCGATTACGTTCGAGCAACAGGAGGCCGTTGAGATTTGAATCTCAGTACTTTATAGGAAGTTACCAACTCGAATCAGTCAACGAGTTAAGAGACCTCGGTGTGTGGATGACGTCAACTCTCAAACCATCGTCTCATTGCGCTAAGGCATCAAAGAAAGCTATGGGTATTTTAGGCGCGATTAGAAGATCTTTCGTCAATTTTGATGAAGAACTTTTCGGCCGAGTATTTGGCGCATACGTTCGACCAATGTTGGAATATTGTGTCCAGGCATGGTGTCCCTGGGCGAAAAAAGATTACACCCTACTGGAGAACGTACAACGTAGAGCGACCAGGCTAGTCGGCGGATTAAGTACCTTACCTTATGAGAGACGGCTGGAGAAGCTAAAAATATTTCCTCTCTCTTATAGGCAGTACAGAGGGGACATGATCATGGCCTTCAGGATCGTCCGAGGGCTAGACTGTGCTCTTCAGTTTGACGACTTCTTCGAACTGGCGCGGACGACAAATCTCCGAGGGCACGCATACAAATTGAAGATGAAACATGCCAGACTCGATTTGCGGGCCAAATTCTTCTCTCACCGGCTGGTTGAGGGATGGAACAAATTGCCGAACTCCGTTGTCTTAGCGGAAAACGTCGAGACTTTCAAAAGAAGACTAGATAAACTTATGCTTGATGGTCAAACATTTACATGACATCAATGACTGGTATAACTGCTATGTAAATATCTGCATGTTTTTTTCATACGTCTATCTGTAAATAGGGTTTTCCAAGGCTCTGCCTCTATCCCTCATATATACTGAATTATAATAAAAGCGCTTTGAAAAAGACCTCTCGATTGACATTCAGGAAATTTATAAGCCGTTTATGTCAGTGCAACTGGCCTGTTTATTGGTTTCTGGACTCTAACTTTTGCAAGTCGGCAGTCATAAGAATATGTACTTGAAAGTCAATTGAGTAACTCCATTTTTCCAGTATATCTCCGATGGACAGTCCCTTTCGAATATGGGCAAACAGAAACGCCTCCCTAGTATTACGATTTCCCTACTCAGGCCGTTATGCACTGTATAATATAATCTAAACGACCTCCACACATATTACTTAAACTGAGAAAAGAATTGTATAGTTCCATCAAAAGCTATGCAGGTAGACTTGTAGGGAAATCATTCTTTTTCACATAAAGTGCCCTGTACAAACCTGAAATGCATAATTCATTGGGACCATTAACTGCCCGAACACGTCGCCGTGGGGGCTACAGAGACGGTAAGAAATATTGGCCTGCTGCCATGCGAATTCTGACAGAGCAAATTTAATTCGTGTCTCTTGGAGTATTCGTAGTTGCGCGGTGTATTTAAGTATAAAACTAAGTCACTGAAGAAGACCCAGTTGGTGATAAATTCAGAAATTGTTGCAGCATCCCAAAATCCCCCTATCCTGCCCCCTCACTAGCAATTAGTCGTCTTTCCGTACATTCGTTTACTTGATTGCTGGCGATTCGGATGCCGAAATTTCCCTTATTCCAGAGCAACATCGTGCAAGAGCACAAAACGAAAATAAATATGTATATTCTTGTAATGATTAAGTCCAAGCACTGCCTGTTTATTTTGCCGTGCTGAATAAGTGTTTTACCCCTGACTTACTATATAACTTTCTGTTAGAAAGAGTTTTCGCTCACGAGCAGTACATCGATCCCAACTCGATGACTGGAGAGTTCAGACGTCCAAATAACGCTTCACGTTTGCTACAAGAGATGCCCGTCAACTTACGGATGATCACACCGTTCGCATCCTTCGACTGTCCTGGGGGTCCTAATATCACGGAGGTATGGATATCCGGTTGTTTTGATATACTCCAACAACAACAACATTTTCTGTCCAACTTTCTCCCCTACGGAATGCTCGTCCTCGATAAGAGCGATACCATTTCCTTTGAAAATCACGATTCCCTACCTCCTTCGTCTACTTTGGAAAATCGGGGTTAGTTGGAGCTGTACAGGATGATTTCGGCGTCTTTTGTGCTCCTATTTAACCATGTCTCTGGCAAAGCTATTTAATCAGGTTGGAAATGATCTAAAGCCAGTTAGATTCCAGTCAGTTTGTTAAGAGGACTCTGGGAATATTTCCATAATATTACTGAACTACTGAGTTTTTTCAATTACTGGATATCGACTGTTTGTCCTAGAGCCAAAAATACTGCTGTGATACACGCAATGGAATGTCAAATTTCGAGTCTACAGCTGGAAGATTGGGGCCGGCATCGCTATTTGTATACTATTTTTGTTGGATTCCTCCATACCCGTGAGAGCTCCGTATTACTTTTTGTTTGTTGGTTACTGTAAGATATATTCCCTCGTTCCGATGCTTTCTTCACTTTGATTTCAAGTTGCGTTTTTGTATCAGCCTTAGGAGACCGAGTTGTTCACAACGTGTCCGAAACGCCTGAAATATATTGCATATGAATCAGTCGAAGTCCCCATGCCCATCCTGACCTACTGTCGGAATCAAAACCTAATCTTCAAGTAAAAGGTTGGTGATACCCACTGTGGCATATCATCGTAGCAAAGACGCTGAAGTAAATTAACCAAAAGTAGACTGGTCTGTTTTGTAGTTAATTTGTATTTTTTTCGATATACCTTTCCGTATCAATTTTCCATAATGCATTTGGATTATATTGTCGCAAAAAGTTATAGCAGTCCGTGTTGTCACATCGCTTTTTCGGAGTTCGCTGTTAATCGTATTTAATAAACCATCTTGCCTCACTTTTTGGAGGCCCGTCGTTAGACTTTGTTTTTCATATTCGCGGAAATCCTCCGATAAACCCGTCTTCATGTCTCTGAGAATTCCTTTTCCAGGAATTCCTATTCTATCATCCAAATACATGCTCTTTTACCTGCCTTTCTGCCAAGCGTTCGTTTGCGAGCACCTTAAGCCTTCATTACTAGGCACAGTTAGCGAATTGGAATTTAGTTGATCGGGCAACTTGACCAAGACCCAGCTCCCAAATGCCTACCCTTGCGGTGGGCAGAATTAATTAGACTACGAAGATGCAAAGAATGCTGCTTTGAATAAATATTAAAAAGGAGCAGATCTGAAAGTAAAATTGCCTTATTATAAAAGCATCTTATTTGAATTAACATAGATGTTTGGCACACTTTTCGGTCTGATTTTTACTGCGGTGAAATTGGAACGGTGAAATAGAGTAGCATTACTCCCGCTTGGCGTCTTCTGCCAGCTTAACGCATAATTAAGACAATGTCGGGCCTTGATCGAACACCAAATATGGGCTGCACCCCAAAAGAGTCCGATAACAGAGATTTCTGCATAGACCATTCCGGGGAAATAGCTGCCCACATTTCCGAACTCTTCAATAACAAGGCTTACAGTGATATATCTCTGATAGTTAAATCGACAGAATTTCCCGCACATCGTGTGATTCTTGCGTCGCGATCGGAATATTTTCGTGCATTGTTTTATGGGGGCCTATCTGAGGCACACTCTTCCACTGTCCATCTAAATGGTATTAGTGACATCGCCTTCTACCACATTTTGTGTTATATATACACTGGAAAGCTCAACTTATCCGGCCTTGCCGTAAGTTTCGTCCCTGTTTTACCTCCTGTGGACCTTTCTGTCGCTTTTCTCGTTTGAGCAAATTATTGTGATCTAGCATTATTGAGCACATTTTCACGTAGTTTGCCATGAGTTTCTTTACTTTTGAACTAGAGATTATCGCCAAAGCACCCTTTTCGGTTATATTTCAGTTTTTATTGTTTTTCATTTTGATCTCTTAACTGTCTTTGGTGCGGCGGCGATCAGGCCTATCCTGGTTGACTTATGATGTTTTGGATTGAACTTCCCCACACTATGATCTGCGACGGCCGACCCATAAACTATCCTCATTTTAAATGACTGTGCCTAACCGGGTTATGAGCCGACCATTTCATTGCCTCTAGTCAGACGGCGACGTCAAATGAAGGACAACAGCACCGGGCCCATGGGATGGACTGCAAAGAACGTGCATTAATCAATTTAATTCTCCTTATTGGCTGGCTTGAAGTGTCCTCCTGTTTTATAATCGAGTGCCGACAAAGCCATTGTACTTCGCCCGTAGGGCCTTTCTCGAGTAATGATGATCACTCCCCTTCTCGTTCCTCTTTCATGTGGACAGCCCAGAATTCACAGGAGGCTTGACCAGACGAATGCTTGACAGCGGCGTGGGGTCCAACCACACTTAAGGCTTGCATGATCGTCGAGATTAGCGTCGCTTCGTGCGACAAACGTGTTTTAGCTCGACCCATTTGGTAACAACGTCTCCCAGTGTGTCTGATATCAACTAATTTTTGGCGAAACGACTCAAAAACAACATGCCTCTCGCGCTTTAGATGAAGCAAGGGATTGATTAAGCCACTTAGTTCAAGCAAGATGCAAGGGGACGTTATGGAATAGACATCTGTTTGACTTCTTGGGAAAGAGATTGTATAATTTACCCCCTATAGAGTCATGCAGTCTAGTCGCACCGCGACATCTTTATCTGGTTCTAACCACCCCATATCTGGTTACTTGCTTGTTGGGGAACTAGTAAAAACTCTTATTGCCACTTATCTTTGTAAGTTACTGTCCAACAGTCCAGCCTCAGATACGCCTGGTGAGCTAACTTAATGTTTTTTAGGAACAAAAAAACAGAATCTTAGTATGTAAAATGTGTGTTTGGAGATTACTGAGGCAGTCAGTCATATTAAAAAGACAGAAGTCGTTGCAATAGGAAGACATTTTTTAAAAGTATATAGGGTGGACGAAATCGCATGGGTTTTTTGGCGAATTTGGATAATTTATTAGACCTTTTTGAGAAAACCTTGGTGGCTTTGATGGAATCCTGACCCTAGACAGCGAGGAAAGGGCTTGAGAGCAGCCAATGTTCTAACCACACGAGCCACCACCGGGAGTTCAATCACATTTCCATTAGGTTTCCCGCCAAGCCTACTGCGACGTATGAAATCCACCAATTCCAATTCAGTAACCTGACTGCTCAGGCGGGATTTTATAAGCAGTCAGTAGAATCCATTAGATGACTACCAGGCCCACTCAATTATTAGATGTTTTCGGTAGATTTAATAGTTTATTTGAGTAAATTGCATGTTTAAAACGTAGCCTATTAAAACAGGCACCAGCTGTCGCGTGTTTGTTCCAGTCCCTTCCTGGTTGTTTTTCATGTTTCTTTCATTGTTAAGTCAATACGCACGCTCTTCCCTTTTAGCCATAATTTTCGCAGGCTCTTAAACAAACTCTCAATTTGTTTTCGCCCGCATGTTCAGACCGGGCTGACAACAGTAATTACGCATTCAGCTGTTAACTAGAATCGCGGAAGTAGTTTTCATTTCCACTTTTGCTGTTCTCACCTTGGGTGTCACTCGGTAAACGCAGTCATGTACCCTTTCTCGGTCGAGTCACCTATTACATCCATAGGGATTGGGGTCGTAGAATTTTAGATAAATCACGTCTTTTGAAGGAACTAAAACCAGCTGACTTACAGAGTCACAGAATCCTTTGTTCGATCTGTGGGCTTCCTGAGCATTTTGGAGTCTTTATAAAACCGACAGCTTTGGATCAGACTTACTGTCACTTAGCGATCATAACACCTGTATGGCTGCATGTAGCCCCGTTAAGCTCCCGTTATACCCTCAATGCATGAACCCATTTGGGTCTTAACGGGACAGACATTCGGACTGCGTTCGAGGGTTAGATTGATATATTTCTCGTTCGTGACCACAAAGTTCTTAGACGTATTATTTTCATAAGGCCTACAGCGGACTAGTTAGTGTGTAATGTGCTCGTAACAGCACTATTTTTCTCACCAGGATAGTTTATCTCCCTGGATGCTGTTGACTGTACTAGACGTTGGGTTGGTTTCGATCGCTTTTAAGGGTTGAGAGAACACAGAAAGGAAAAATGCAAACTCGTGAGCTGAGTAGCTTGTAAATCATTTTGAATGACCACAGGATTGCAATAAGTCCCTATAACTTACACAAGCACGCGTTATGACAGTTCAGCCAAGAGCTACTCAGCCGACCCGTTCCGGCCACTCATACATTAAGTGAACGACTGACGGGGAAGTTGCATTTAACCACATTCAGTTCTGAAAGCTGGCTCTACGCCAGCCCCTTATTTGCATTTCGAAATAACTACTTGAGATGACAGCTGGGTCCGACACAGTCGAACATTTCTTAGTTTTCATCATTGGTTTTGTCTTGCGACCTAAAGTGTAAATAAGTTCTGTCTGCCATTTAAACACTAGCAGACCCGCTGATGATGATACTAGCATCGAAACGACTTCCTGTAGATTTAAAGTCAGTTTGACTTCCTTGTAATGTCAGGCGTTCTTTCTTTTCAGCATGAAGATGTTCTGGACATTTTGGGGTTGGCATGCCAGTACAATTTTGTGAACCTTCAAGCTGCCCTCTCCAAGCACTTTACGCATTCACTCACCTTGAGCAACATATGTTCCGTTTATGATGCAGCCATTGTTTACGACTTGGAAGAATTAGTTCTTGCTTGTTTGGAATTTGTGGACCGGTTTGCTCCTACTGTTCTCTCGATGCCTCAATTCGAGCGTCTATCAAAGGTAAGAGCGAATTATCCGGTTATTCCACCTCCAACAGTCAATTTCCCACTTGAGATTTAGATTTTTCTTCATTCCTTTATTTCATTCCCTTAATTTTAACTCCCATCTTCGGTAATCTGGTTGACCTATTAACTACTGTTTTCGTCACCTGGTAATATTTGCTGTTGATTTACAAAGTTGGACGTTTGTTGGAACAGTTGTAAAGTCTCTTCCAGCCGATTTACGGGCTTCTTCTGCTTTAACATCCTCAAACGAGATGCTCTCGTCTATCACGTGTTGATCCCAAACACGGGTCTGCCGAATACTAGACCAATGCACTTTAGTAAAGGCACACCTCTGAAATTATAGGCAAAAAGCGTCTGTTACGTGCTGAACTCCAAGTGCTGCTGCCGCTGTTCCATCTCCTCCTTTCCGTTTGTCCCCGTAGTCAGCTTCAATGATAATGTTGCAGACCCCACCAAGCGTCTATAAGAGCCTTGTCTCACAGTCCCAACAGGTCAATCGTCCATATTAAACGTTGCCTCTTGTTGTGAGTCGCAACAAACGCCACGTGAATAAATTCATACAGGTGGCAGATGTGGCTGCGTTAGCATCTACACTTGAACGTCGTCTCACAGCACATGTTTTCTCGCCTTACGAGTTGGCCATTTCCCACTACCAGCCCTAATGAAAGCATAAGTTGCATGATATACCATACTTCACAGGTATTCATATCAAATTTCAGTCTGAGTCTCTAAGTCCCTATCGTAAAAACACCAGGTAAACAAAAAAAGGAACTGGAGGGCACTTTTGGTCATTAGTTGTCCCCGGCACTTCTAACACCACTTACATATCCTATTATTACTCTGGAGCCGAAAAGCTGCGCCCCTCGGTATTCACACTTCAGTACACTTACTATCCTGATCGCCGATGTTAAGGAAGCTTCGCGTCATCATTATGTTTGCGATAACTTTACCGGCGACAAAGTAAACTGTCTCGTATTTTCCAAACAGTCGTACATGCTGTAGATTTCCAACTTACCCTTACTACCACAAGGCCGGGTATTTCGGCTATTGACACATCGGCTACTTAATTTACCTCCTATTTGCACAGACACACTGCACCTGAGAAAAAGGGAAACTTACAGATGAATACCACTGTCGTGTCCACTCAGCGTTTGGAACGACAGCAATTCCACCATTCTCCTTCATGACTTACTTGCATGGGTGATGAGCCTCATTTAGCGGTTTTCCTTCCCGTTGGCGTCGTTGGTTGATACGGGGAGTGTCTGGCTGTGTCTTTATTGTTTCATGCCAGTCAGGTTGCCGGCAAAAAGTCTCTCAGAGCGACGACCCATGGTGCGTGAACTCGAAAAATCGAGTTTGCCCAAACGCGGACCACCTAGGTGTTTGACATGCGTTGACACATGCCACTCCAGCCATCGCAATCGGTTTCGCCTCCATCCAGTCTTGACTTTCACCTGCCACTGGCATATGATGAAACAGGAAGGAGAGTTTAAGGCTGATCCAGTTCACTTTCCTTTTGACTTTAAAAGACATTGGACCATACCACACCAGGAGTCAGTGATCGCGTGACTTAAAATTGGTGGAAAGACGGAATGTCAGGTCGCAGGGGTTCCTTCTCACCGTGTTCTTTATGATGTTATCCGTGATACGTACTACCCGGTAGACACGCCATCGAAAACGCGTTGCAAACAAAATGTTCAGTTCCTCTGCAATGGTCAACTATTCAAGCAGATAGACGGCGTAGTGATGGGCTCACCGCTTTGTCCGTTCCCCATAAATTTTTTTACGAGTCACAAGGTTACAAGACACTATTAAGTGACCTTGATTTCTTCTGTCGATATTTGGACGATATTTTTTACCTGACGACACTGACGCCCTGGTTCAGAGGTTTAGCAATGCACACCCCTCAATAAATTTATCTGCAGAGTTTGAGGCAGACAAAGATATTTGGTCCAGGGATTAGCATCTGGAGTGCGGTGTATCTGCTTTCCTGAGACTCGAAGCAGAACGCCAGCGGCTGCTTAACATACTCACCGAAAACTGATAACCTGAGAGATTTATTCTCCGAAATATTTTGGAACGCACCACAAAGCCTACCATGACTTGTTTATTGGACTCTCCTTTCAAACGAATGGAGCAAGGAGCCAAGTAAGACGAATTCTGAAGACAGCGATCATTAATGCTTTCCACGTTACGAATTCACGCGTAGTTTTCGCAAACTCCTCTCCCACGCCTGGGAGGTAAAGACCAAATCCGTGTGTATTCGCTCATTCGTTGTCTTCTGTGGAGTGGAATACCTTGGCCGTACAACGAGATGCCTGGAAAAGAGACCACGTGAACACATATCTACCTGGCTAGCCAAAGGTGGAAACAGATCGATTTCGAGTTCTAATCTCGTACATTTTGTCGATACGAATCACCAAGTCCATGCCGAAGAAGCCTTTTAAGTTGTCTACTGGACACCAGCAAACTTCTCTAGAGGCCTACGCCGCGGCAGTGACTATGCGGCTAGGGAATCCAGTGCTATGCTGTCCAAAGACGATACAGGCACCCCGTCTTCCGTAGCTAACGCCGACCCCAGATGGTTATTACTCGGCGTCCCAGCCTCCTGATGACAGTGATGTGTACTCCACGTACTCAACCTACAAACACTACTCACAGTCTATGGGACTCCCCTTTGCCCCAATGATCACAACACGTTGACCTTGTCATGTGGGTGGTGTTGAAACGATGAGTGTTTATAACCGCCTGAAACACTTATCAACCCTGTCAGCTTCGTATATTTTCACTTTGTCGCACCAGTTACTGCGTCTTGGTGTGTTTTAACCTGTAGTGGTTATGCGGTGAGAGTGGGAGATATGAGCACTACCATAATCAGGGCAAATCCTAGTGTTGTAGGGAGAAGACGGAAGGCACCATTATGTGAGGGGTTTATTGCGCACAGAACCCGAAGTTGTCCTCTCAGGCGGCAGTGGCCACTGGCGAGGCCAGGGCTGGCGTTGACTGCGTCCAGTCACGCCCGAGAGTTCCTGAAACAGAGGTGGCAACCGCTTTTGTAGGTTCGTGGGCCAAGCTCAAGTGGTGTCCAGTCAGTGGGTGTTGCATTTGCCGAGGGGGTGGTGTCCCAGTGGCTTAGGTTGTGGTTGCACTGGGAACGGTACGTTCAAGTGGCCGCATAGGCAGCTGCGACCGTACGGACGCAGGTATGCCCGAGCTGTTCGTCGTGCGACTTCAGGTCAGCGCGTGTGGAACGACTCACTGCAAAAGGGTGGATGACCTTGAGGCAGCGAGGTCTTGAACAATGACTCCAGACCGGTCATGATGGCTGCCCGCTACAAACCCTCCACCACAGTGCAAACCAACTCAAAGGCGAGTTACTACTCCGGCCCCAGAAAATTGGCGATCTTTATCGATCTCAGCGGACGAACTGCTGTACGATCCGACCGAATTCGCTCCTGAGTTTGGAACGGAATCCTAGCGGGGAGTTGAGGAGGGTCCGTTATAGAAGTCATGCAGTTAAATATGAGCAAGTCCGCCAACCAAGAGTATTTTACTTTTTTTTTATTTTCTCCCTCAGGCAGCTGTAATTCGTGTTATAACGAGGGACAGCCTTTACGCTCCAGAGTTTGAGATTCTGCGCGGCGTTCAGAGGTGGCTAGATGCCACCTACCAAGCCTGCATCGAGGAGGCTCTGCAGGAGCTTCAAAATACTCAGTGCAAAAAGCCGCAGCCCGCAACCCGCTGATGACAGTGATGTGTACTCGACTTTCAAACACCACTCACAGTTGGAAGAGAATATCCGCATCCCAGGTTCTTGTTTAAGAGAAGACGAAGGCTTTCAGCCACTACAAACTTGCGTTTTGGCGCCGATACGTGGACGATACATTCGTCATCATTGAAAAGGTTAGGCTATCGGGTTTTCAAGACTTGCTTAACAGCATCTTCTCCGACATTCAGTTTACAAAAGAAGACGAGGAGGCCGATAAAATACCTTTGCTTGACGTGCTCGTCACGCGCACACCTGACGGTAAACTCAGCACTACAGTGTACAGAAAGGCGACCAATACAACCCAGGTCCTCAACTGTCATAGCAACCACCCATTTGTGCACAAACGGGGCTGTGTGAGAGCGCTTTTCGACCGGGTAAAAAAGCACTGTAGCGAGCCCAAAAGAAGGATGCAAGAGCTACGGCATCTCAGAGACTAATTAACAAAGAACGGCTACCCAAATAGTTTCATCAGCCGCTGCATATGCACCCACCCACGACGGACAAAAGGACGAGAAACACCGACAATTTGGCACTCCCTACCGTACATAAAGAATGTGTCCGAGGCTACAGAAAGCATTGCGCCAGAGTTCGCCGCGAGCATCGCTCATCATCCAGCGGCTACCATGCGTAGCAGGATCATGAAAATGAAGGATCGACTAGACGCAGGTGAGCAGTCGGGCGTAGTCTATCAAATCCCGTGCCATAACTATCCTTGCCACTACACAGGCCAAACAGGACGACGTCTCAGCTCACGAGTACTTGAGCACAAATGGGCCGTTCGGAGAGGCGACCCACTGTCTCAGTCGCCGCTCACACGCTGGAGGAAGGTCATGAGTTCGACTTTGCCAATACGCGGATATTGGCGCGAGCCGGCAACAAGACGGGGCGAGAACTGTTGAAGGCGTGGATGTCGGACACCAATTCCATCAATAGACACATTGATTTGCCTGCTTGTTATCACGCACTCCGCCCACGCAGCCAGGTGGCACAGCTCACATCGCCGCGAAGTACAAACGGCGTCACCACGCCGGGGGACTATTGTGGACCAGGCGGCACAAACCAGACCTAGCCATGGACGTAGTCCCCCCGCACGGAACAACGATATAAATGTTCACACGTTGTTGCACTCTAGCAGTCTCTGATGATGAATTCCAGTTCGAGTTCGAAAGCCCAGGCCAATAAATCTACCGTCCCAGTGGTCGTGCCTTCGCCTCCTTTGCCCACTTACAATCTGTGGGACTCCCTTTTGCCCCAACACGTCGAGCTTGTCATGTGGGTGGTGTTGGAACGATGAGTGTTAATAACCTCCTGAAACACATATAAACCCTGTCAGCATCTCATATTTTCACTTTGTCACACCAGTTACTGCGTCCACAGTGCAAACCAACTCAAAGGCGAGTTACTACTCCGGCCCCAGAAAATTGGCGATCTTTATCGATCTCAGCGGACGAACTGCTGTACGATCCGACCGAATTTGCTCCTGAGTTTGGAATCGAATCCTAGTGGGGAGTTGAGGAGGGTCCGTTGTAGAAGTCACGCAGTTAAATATGAGCAAGTCCGCCAACCGAGAGTATTTTACTTTTTTTTAATTTTCTCCCTCAGGCATCTGTAATTCGTGTTATAACGAGGGACAGCTTTTACGCTCCAGAGTTTGAGATCCTGCGCGGCGTTCAGAGGTGGCTAGATGCCACTTACCAAGCCTGCATCGAGGAGGCTCTGCAGGAGCTTCAAAATACTCAGTGCAAAAAACCGCAGCCGGCACTTGCATCGTCCGAGGAGACTGCCCCCAAGCTGGATGCATCACCTGCCTCCACCTCTTCGGAATCCCTTTTTGGCGGCTCCACAGGCGCTGGCGGTGGCCGTAAGTCTTAGTTTGCCCCCCCCTCATCCTGAGTGCTTGTTTTCTCCTCCCTCTTTGTCCCCTCTTCTCCCTTTTACGAACTTGTTACTCCACTTATCATCGGCTCCAGTAGCATGTTGATAATACCGGCAGTTATCTTTCCTGCAATTATCAGGAGCCGAGGCAGCGGATTCGTATGATAAGAGCAGAGCTCCAGTCTCTGCATGAAAATTGTCTCGAATTACCGCCGCCCCGTGGTTCACATCGTTCCTCTCTGCCACGGCTGCTGAATTCCCCCCCCCCCTTCCCCCCAGTCGAGTGCCTCAGTTGGGGCATCAATCGTACTAGATAAAAGTCCCGAAACAAGTGGATGATTCAAATTTGTCTTTCTTAATTTCTTATGACGTTTTAGGTTTCGTCTTATTGTTTGTGTCTCCTGCCATCTTTACCTCATCTCCTCTGCTAGATTTTAAGACCAGCTCACTGGACGGTGGGGCTGCCTCCTTGCCGGCGGGAACCCTCAAGCGTATCAAGCGCGAAGCCGAGGAACGCCGCAATGAACTTATAAAATGCATTCGATTTGAGCTCATGTCGCTCTCAGAGTTATCAACTGAAGTTAGGGCCTCCAAACTTCTCTCTGCAGATGCACTTCTCGACGCTATTAGCTCCAAGACATTGAAAACTTCGGACCAATTAAACCTCCGTGGGCGTCTTCGTGAGTTTTGATTCTAATAAACCGTCCTACTTGAGAAATATAGTAGGTGTTTCTGATACGTTTTAATTATCTCCACTCGTGTAGTACCGGAAGTCAACCTGGCTGTGCCGAGGCTGGGCTGCTCCCTTGTCGCCGGCAATCGGGGGAACTATCCTTTCTTCTTCTTGGACACCACACCAACCAACGAACTGTCCGGTCTACAAGTGCCAGAGGTTGATCTATCGACAGCGGGCGGTACACGGCCGGTGCAGCGCGGCTTCGCGGATCCAAGCCAGTCTCACCGCGCCGCTGGACAGAGATTCCCACGTCTCTCTTCAACACCTCAGCCTAGCACTAGCCATCATCCACGAGCCGATGGACTTATTCCCGACGACATTTCTCCACCCCAGCCCGATCCACAAAGCGCCGTAAATGGCTCTACATGTAAGCCAACATCTGTCTTTGCTGAAACACTACTAGCTAGTTCACAGTGCATACCTCATGACAATCCATCACTTTCCTTGGACAAACCGCTTTTTGGATAAAAGTGACCAGGAGGTTTTTAGAAAAGTGGGGAATCTTCTATTTTGAAACGCAGTTTATTCGTTTGTCCAGGTGAAAGAACCAAAGGGGGGGTAAAAAAAAGTTTGCGCACTGCACATCCATCTTTGTCATCTCTCTCCCTCTCTCTATCTCCGACCAAACGACCCCTTTAACAATAAACAAAGGGTTGACTCTCTCTCTGTAATTAAGAGATGCATGCACCAGTCGGTCTGGATAACCAATTTTTGGAAAACGTCGTACACAAAATCTGACACAATCTCGTTAGCAGCAGAAGGTTTTGCATCGATGCATTCAGACAAAGCTATTATGCACACGTAAGGAGCGACCTGGCAGTCTCTATGCTCTCCGCCTGTGGGCTAAAAGATGGGCTCGCCCATAAGTGCCAATGTCAACCCATGATGGAAGAATAGGCTAGACAACGCTTGATTGTTACGCATGCTACGCCTCATTAAACTTCACAGCGAGATTGTTGCGGTAACTGAGACCCCCATAACCACGTTGATTGGCGCGCGAGCGCAGCCGAAAGTGGCTGGCGTTCGCCTTCGACACAGAAGGATTTGTGTGTAGTTGGATTCACTCATTGGAAAATAACAGGGCTTGTTGTGGCATAAACAGACGACATCTCTATCGCACTTTGACCACTCCGTACAAGTCGTCCGGACCTTGTATTGCCACGGGTATGTGGGAGGGAGGAGAGTTAAACCGATCCTGGGCAGTTCTTCACCACTACCATCCGATCGAACACATGTTTTCGGTAATTCATCATCTGGCCAACACAAGTAGATGGCGAATGAGCTTGTGAGTTATGGACTGGATTTAAATATGCCTCAGGGGGCAGGGTTAGTTAAACTCCTTGCTCTCACGCCGCCTGCATGACGGAGCCAGTGTGTTAAGGACGGCGGAGCAGGGGTGGGGAGAAGGGGAGGGGTTCGGGTTGGGTTGTGAACGCTTTCTGTAGGTCAAACAAGCGGAGTGCCTGTGACTGTTCTCAGGGCGTTGGGACGACGTGCAATCACCATTTGGAGTCGGCCACGGAAGACTGCCTGCGTCAACGTCTTCTGACAGCAGAGCGCCGGATTTGCTAATCGAATAGCCACCGGCTCAGCTGTGGCTAGCACCCGTTTGCGTAGGCCTTTAGAGTGGTGTGTTGGAGCCCATTGCCAATCCCCTCGGTGAAGTTGCGGCCATTATCGTGTTTGACGAACGAGCTGCCACCCTCTATGGTGCAGAAGTACATGACTTAATCAGTCTGGGCGCAACTTACTCTTCAGACTGACAGAAATCTGAACTTTATTTGATTGTAGCCTGTAAGTTCTGAATTGTGAAGCATAATTTTGTGCTTCAGAATCCCCATGTGCTTACTCCTATTCCATCCGACTCTTCCACATCTGCACACCCACAGCCTGGAGCAAACCCATTATGCCAAGTTTCACAGCACGTCCATTCCACCGAAGTGGCCTGTTGGATAACGATGCGACTCAGCTGAACACCTGGGTTCGTCACCAGCAGCAACAAGCCTCCGGACCGCAGCCGCTTCAGACAGTAGTCAATCAAGCTGACAGTTTTGGCAGTCCCACGGTCGACCTCCGTGACGGTCCCTATCAACAGCATGCAGCAACAACGGCGTCGCCTAAGGCGACTCCCCTCTCCGGCCTGCCTACCTCATCAACCCCGGACCGGCGCGGACCCCCCGCTGCTGCAACCCCTCCCCTACGATCCCGCGTCGCCTCAACGGCCTCCATGGACTCCTTCTTTTCAACCACTGCAGCTGCCTCGGGTACCCACGGTGAGCATCCCACGCCTCCAGGCGGCGGGCTGACACCAGATCCGGCGGTCAGAGGCAGGGCTCCGCATGCTCACGGCCGCGCTGGCAGTGGCTGCGTGCGCACTCCCAATGTGCCGCCTCCTGAGTCAGAATTCTCAGTGGTCTCGCATCCCATTGGAGTGTGTGGCGGCGAGATTGTTGTAGATCTGGGCCACAACAGTTTCGTCAATATGATATCTATGCAGCTGTGGGACAGAGAACCAAGGTGAGTATAACTTTTACCGACTTACCCACTCACTCAATTTGCTTCTTAATTATTATTCTTAGCTAGAGACCCTGTCTGATTCATCCACATCCGTTGCTCCTCCAGCGTCTATCAGAATCGTGGGAATTTTCTGACTGAAGTAGACATTTTGGTCAAGTATGCATTCTGTAGGGCTCCAAGGTTAGAAAAGTACAAATTAGGTGGGGAAAGGAATCAACTTCAAAATTTTTGGGTGAAAAAGCCCTGCATATGCGTTTACTGCACATCTTTTTCCGTGGGTCGTCCCGGCGTTGGCAGAAACCCGCTTAAATCTCTCGCGTGGGGCACATACTACTTCATAATCGCGTCCCGACGGGATCTCTACTTGGTCCAGCAAAGAAATTCTTTGATACAAATCATCTCATTCTTTGAAAAGATGCTGTGAGGGGACTGACGATTCTTCTATATCACTACTGTCATCAGTGTCATAAGAGGAAAAGCTACGACTCCCTCAGTAACGATCGGTATCCCACGGAGCGACTGGATTATGTCCCGCGAAATTTTCACTGAGAACAATTTTGCAACCTCCTTGATGCATATTCCTTGAAGACTTGGCACCCAAAACTAAATGTCCCTGCACAGCCGAAACACAAGTGCGCATTCTTTGCCCAATCCTTCCAAAGATATCTGAAATAACTACAGGCGCACGCTACAGGCATAGCGCTTCCTCAACACCTCTCATCATTAATAAGGTACAGTAGGTGGGCTAACCCATTAAATGTCAACCGAAATCCCGAAATGCGTTTTCGTTTCGAAAGGAGTAATTAAGTAGGGTTGTAAAACTGACCATCATGCAGCGTAATTCTACAATAATTCAATTACCTCAGGATGTCGGCTTTTGAGCGAACTTCTCTCTGGCTGCATGCAAAAATCACACTCTGTAAAAGATGACTGCTTAAGAGGCAGGCATTTTTCTCATTGATATTCGATACCCTTAAACATGAAAAACATGCATAAGAAATTCATTATTTTGCTCATTCGGTAGAAACTGACGTCTTCTTCCAATTTGATACTCGAAGGAAGGGTATAATTCGGTTTTACAAAACTTTTCTAATTTCCGAATAATTTTGAACCCCGACCTGCCGTTACACTTGGAATGAGGGTTTCCAAACTAAAAGCCGTATATTTTTAACGTACGGAAAACCATATATTTCTCTACGGCATTAAGAGGAGACCATAGGAGGTTCATAAAATTTAGCAGTGGACTTGAGCCATGTTGTTAACTTTACGAGCCACATTGGTAAATGCAGAGACACCACGTTTTATGAACGGTCATTTCACGTTGTGAAAAAATCTCACAATTAGAAACTTTTTTAAAAGCCTAATTATACCCTTCGTTTGAGTATAAAATTGGAAGAGGACGTAATTTTCTACCGAATGAACAGAAAAATGAATATTTTTATGCATGTTTTCCATGAAATATGATTGAATTTTTAAGGGCATCGAAAATCAATGGGAAAAACGAGTGCTGTTTAAGTAGTTATCTTTTACAGAGTGTGGTTTTTGCATGCAGCCGGAAAGAAGTTCTCTCGAAAGCCGGCATCCTGAGGCAACTAAATTATCATAAAATTATGCTGCACGATGATTGGTTTTACAGCCCTACTTGATTAATCTTTTCGAAACGAAAATGCTTTTCGAAATTCCAGTTGACATTTCATGCTTTGAATAAGGCAAAGGCGACAAAGCATGCAGTATTTACTGACTCATAAATTTCGAGACCTCTCATTCAGCTGCACACGGTCATTGCACAATTATATGAAAAGGCAAACTGTTCAATTAGAAATCGACCTAGAGAGATAAAACGTGATAGGTAACCTGAAACATGGGTCTAGTATGCAGGTGCGCATGGCGAGGGGGGGAGGGGGAGAGAAGTCATCTAAGCAAGCGAGTTAGGATTAAAGTGAGAACCTATCAGGCGTGGTTGAAAGTGCGACGCGCGGGCAGCATTCAGTCATGCCGGGGAGGGGTTGGGGGCGAAATGAGAGGGCGTATCTGGAAGCAGGGTTTCGTCTATTATCGATCCTTACCATGGTAGTGCCAGGTTTGTCACGTGGTCCAGCTGCTTACAGAGTTATGGTTTCCTCCTGCGTATTGCAGCGGACTCTGCGAAGCGCAAGAGACGCCCGGTCGCCGCCCGAAACAGGACCTTGAATGCAACTATTGGTCCACCGTATGGCCCGTGTCCACTAGGTGCTCTGTAATTGAGCTCCTGGATGCCTTATTTTCCGCCTTAAGCAGCCACTTCGGCATGTGTTCAGCTGACCGAGCTGCCAACTGCCTTTGCGTGAGCCCAATGTACTTGCATCCGCAACTACACGTAAACTCATAAATACAGTTTAATGTGACGTGCATAGGCAAAATGTCTTTAGGTGGTCTAACTGGGATGGCCGTTGTAGTATATTGCTTTACCGACCCCTTGAAAATGCTTATGAATTTATCCCAAACTTTCTGATGCTTTGTGTGTAAAGTTAAAACCGAAAGCCGGCCACCAGCACAGCCGTCCGGCATTTCAGTTATCCAGAGAAATCCATTATGACAGATGCACGCTCACCGATCAGGTTACGGAACATGCTCGTTCCGTTGTGTCTTGGGGCCCATACTAGAACCTTTGCAGGCAGTCGCACAGTGACTAGTAGTAGAAGTAAATGAGATGATACCGAAAAATACAAGGGAGACCGGAATGGCCATTTCTGGCTTGTTAGCCGTCATCAGCCGGTCATGGCCAACCCCAAGTGTGGGTCGCTTCAGATTCAAACCCGAGATCTTTGGTCATGGAGTTTGACACTCCACCATTGGGCCACGGGCCCGTTGTCCTGTCGGTTGTGATCGGGAATATTAATTATGGCAGCGGGCGCCAACCGATCAGGTTACGGAACATGCTCGTTCCGTTGTGCCTTGGGCCTCGTACTAAAACCCTCGCAGGCAGTCACACAGCGACTAATAGTATACATAGATACTACTGAACACTTCCTTTGGACTGTCGCACTCCTAGTCCAGACTTAAAGGGACTTTGTCATGTCAGATGACCTTAAAAGCGTGAGACAACCACCTTTCAGATTTTCCTATTACTTAACATTATATCAGATCATTTTGTGATAAGACCGTGTTGACACTAAAGTTTTGCTCACGCAAAGTACCTGATCAACCAACATAGCCTTGTCTAAACGTTAGACAGGGGAATGTGACCTTACCGTATTAGTGCCGAAGCTGTTGCTTTTGCCCTTTTCCACCGTCGTACCATCCATTCCCTGCTTTGTCGGTTGGTAATTGCTCCAGTGTCTTTACCCTCGCCAGCACTCAAGCTGACCTATTAACACAAACCGGGGGGAGGGCTTTTGTGGCCAAGGCAGACCACATGAGTGAACATGTGATGTGCAGAACGCCTCCTTGTCTGTCTGAAACGCAGGCTACGCTCCCAGCCACCCCCTCCCCTTAAAGTTGAAATGAAACAATAATCAACCCAGTTAGTCGAAGTGATAGCCCTAATGGTCGAAATGGGCGACATACATGCCATCCCGACGGAGCCGCTGATTCAATTAACCCGAGTCCCATGTACTTCCTTGCGAAGAAGGGTTCTCAACGTCCTAGCGCATTTATTTATAGCATCTGGCCGCAGTTTGTTTCCTTCTAGTTTCAGAAAAGGCGGTGTACAGGGTTGTGTCACGGTCTGATTGCTGATGGCAATCAAACGCATGAGTAGGCAGGCCGTTTGGCAGCTGTGGGCTGCGTCCGCAAGCCACCACCGCCGCCTGGAGGGAAGCAGTGGTGTATTGCAATCTCACAGCCAGGGCAGAGTTGGCCCGCGAGTTGGCAGCTTTCCAAACCACAACTTTTAAAGCGCTGCATTACCTCGGAAGTGCATTAAATTTATTGTAGTGTGGGAGCGTCGCACAAGATCGGCCTCACCCTACCTCTCCCCTCTCCCAACGTGAGCCATTAACGCCAGTGGATCGCGCCAACTGAAAGTGAGAAAAGTCGCGGTGGCTGACGCAGCATAACACCCTCGTCTTTCGTGTGCCACACACGTGCCTGCCCTAGTAGTACTTCCTCGTGAGGTCATGCAGTGAGGCTGACGGATGCCAGTGAGCGTCAGGAATCTCCCTCCTCCTCCTCCTCCTCCTCCTCCACCACCACCACCACCACCACCACCTAATCCTCCTCCCCCTTCCCCGGCCCCACCAACACCACTTATGGTCGTACACAGGACGCAGGAAAGACCTCCCAGCTCGCGTTTCTAACAGACGTACCAAAGTCCTCGGACCAACCACACCCCCATAATTCCTTCAGGCCAGCAGTACCACTTGTGTAGGTTTCAGCACGTTAAGAAGGATTTTCGGCGACGATATGGAGAAGGACCCCACCTTACTGCCGGTAGACTGTGAGTCGTGTCACACGTGACTGGCAATAAGGGGAGTTTTACGGATGTGGCGGTGCACTAGACGGTAAGCTGACGAAATGCAGGAGAACACAGATTGTCTAGATTTCTCCTGAAAGACTCATCGTGCGCTTTCGCACGACAACGGAAGTGAGCGCGGTAGTTAAAAATAAACAAAAAGTAAGTTTCAAAAAATTAAGGAGTTTAAATGATGGTTTTGTTGGGAGTGCCTACACTCCCAAAAACAAGAGCCAGCCAATCACTGAAGGCCATGTGCGTTTTCTCTACAGCGCTGTCATTTTAATCATGGCGCCTCTCCAATGGCTTTTTCCCCGGGCCTGATCGATCTGCGTATTCGAATTATCGACCAGCTCGTCTGGAATGTTCTTCCCGAAGGGCACTGGGCCGAATGCCGGCGAACCACAGTAGGGCGTTATAAGTATGCGTTACTTCCAATTAATTTTGACTTGCAATTTTCTAATACACTTTCCGTGGCCGGCCGTGTTTTCGTTATCTGCTGCGTTGGTATTGGGGACAAGGGTCGAGTGCGTATACGCTCCACGGGATGTCAAGTACCAGGCGGGTCATAACAGGTTTGAAGTCACGGGAAGTGATTGTTATTGGCAGTGTAATGTCTGCAAAGGCCCGCGAATGAATGCCAACATAAAAGCCCCTATGACGTGATCCACAGGCTGCCGTCAGTAGAATGGTGTCCTTCTCCATACCGTTGCCGGATTTTCCTTGACGAGACCAATACGACACGACGCGACAGTTGGACCTTCGCGAACATCGATGCCCACCGTGTGCGCAGGGACCGTGGAATAGCTACTCAAATAGCACCGTATCTGGCTGATTATTAGTGTTTCTTAGGAAGCGAACAACGTGATACATATTCGTTGCATAATTTTACAAACTCTATACTGTGCCTTCTTAATAGCAAAAAGGGATGTAGAATTTTCCTTACATGGAAAGACTACAGCTTGTAGTTTGGAAAACCATAAACACAAGTGGTCAAGTTCAGAATTGTTCACGATTTGAAAAACTTGCCTAAAACCTAAATCTACCCGTTCTTCTCGTACAAAGCTTGATAAGGACTTAATTTGCTGCTATCTACGTAGTCACCTGTTACCGCGTGTGATTTTTGCAGATGACCAGAAGGCAACGCATCCAAAAGCCGGCGTCCCGGCGCGATTGTAATATCTTAGTATTAAGCTGCTCGACAATCGATGTTAAAACCCCAACTCAGTAATCTTTTCTAATAGAAAATGCATTTCGGAATTTTGGTTGGCATTTCATGAGATCGGTCACTCACTGTACGTGCATTTGCACAGAGCCATGTTTTGCTCTCCTCCTTTTCTTTCCCTTCATTTTCCCCTTCCCCTCCTACTCCTCCTCCTCCTCCTCCTCCTCCTCCTCCTCATCATCATCATCATCATCATCATCATCTTCTTCTTCTTCTTCTTCTTTGGAACTGTTTACTGGAACATGCCTTTTCGCTTCTATCGGCAAGGCCGTTTAAGGCCTGCCTTCGTCGAAGCATACTTTCATTTCTGGTGGGCATTCTTGTATTTTTCCTCCTCTTCTTCCTCTTCCTCTTCCCCATCCTCCTCTTCGTCTTTTTTCTCCCTCTTACTCGTCCTTTTTTATTCTGCTGCCATCACCACCGCCCCTTTTTGCTCCCCCTTTCCCCACAGGTCCTACTCCTACTACGTCGAAGTGGCCCTCTCCAAGGACGGCACCTGGCACCGGGTAGTGGACTACAGCAACTACGCCTGCCGTTCCTGGCAGACACTTTACTTTCCTGCGCGTGTCATCCGTCTGATTCGCATCGTAGGCACCCGAAGTTCCGGCAGTCAGTACTTTCACCTCGTCACCTTCCAGTGTTTCTACACGCGGGAACAGTTCAAAGTGCACAACGACCTCCTTGTAAGCAGCAGTAGGCTTAATTCGCCGGTTTGGTCTGATGCGCATGTGTGTTGGGCTGCGTAGTCCAGTTCAATTTTTGTCTGTGTGGTCGAGCCTTTCCGTAGATCGGTCAGAGGCGACTGTTCATCTTGCAATTTCTGGTGTTCTTTGTTCAAGGCTTCACAATACTCTTGCGCTCCGTTAGTCTCACCTGGATTCCAGAAGCTGCAATGCATGACGCCGACTGTCGACCAAAAGTCACCATGGTTTTCAGCAGGGCAGGTCCAGTTTCTTCGTCGTTTTCCAGGCGTTGTGCCGATCTTTGACGGCTGTCAGACAGAATCCAAATTTCATCAGATGTCATCTCGAATGGATCTTCTCTGTTAGGTGAACGAAGCGCTACGTAGATCCATGCGCTACCCAGTTGTTTAGCTCGTCAATCTTCTCGAATCTAACTGGCCGATCACCAGTGGTTGGATGTTAAATGCGTCTGTCTTGCGCTAGCCAATGAAGGTTTTCGGGGCTTCGCTTCAGTACTTACGTTGGGTTGGTAATCGTTAACCCCGCATTAGTATCCCTTCCTAATCAAGAACACATTTCCTGAGCTTGGTCACTGACTGTCTGTACAAGAAATTACTCAAATTTACTTCTTTTGCATTCGTCTTGCGACGATCTAAACTGGTCGTGACCAGGCGGTTGGATCAGATTATTTGATAGTAAAATACATCGATAAATGCGCCTGGAACTTGTGCATAACATCAAATTGGTGAAATTACTGCTCTTTCCCGCCGACGTATGGACATTTCCAACAACAACAGAAACACATACAACTTTTCAGGTATTAGTCGATTACTGAAAGTCCTAGTTCGTGCTGATTCCGCTCCCCATAGCGCCCTCCACGCTGATCCGAACTCGGTCACAACGCTGAGAAAGTAGGTACATGGCGCGGCGTCACATGCCATCTTCCGATAAATTTTCCAACTGATCGCAAAACAGCTGAAAAACAGCAGCAGACTTCTGGCTGGAAAGGCAAGGTGGTTTTCCTCCTGCTCCCACTTTCCCACCCCTTCACTGATTGCACGCCCTCTTCGTCCTGCGCATCGAAGTGATTTATCGCCTCCCCCGAGGTCGTTTTGCGCGCGTTTCTGCCGTTTGGACAGAAATGGAGAAATAGGGAGGCAGAAATTCGTGCTAAAGTTCCTCCGACTGTCAACTACAGCCGACGTCTAATCCGCTCAGCCCGTCGCCCGGCCTTGAGCACCTGCGTCCGCAGTTTCCGGTTGATAGAATTTGCCAACCGGACAGCGATTCTCGGTATCTGGGAAAAAATCAGTGTCACTCCAAGCTACCGAGGGTGATGGAGAACGTGGAAGTCACGGCCCACTCGAAGTCTGCACTCCTCGGACGTCGCCTGTTATCCACGTTTTGGCAGTCTTCGAACCATGACCCCTTTCAGTAGATGACGTGATAATGAGAGCAGGGAAAGGTAAGTTCGTCCGTCACAAAACAACGACGACAGAGCTGACAGTTGCCTGTATCCGGTGATAGTACTGGGGACATCTGATGCATCTATCCGTAAATCTCTCTTCTCACGTCCATCTAACGTCAAGAGCCCTAATATCAAAATGAGCTCCGAACGAGCTCGCGCAGAACTCGTTTTGCGAGTTACGCGAGCTCTGTTGGAGCTCTGATGTGGTTATTGATCCGAGATCGCTAAAACGAGCCCGAAACGAGCTCCGAAAAACGGGCTTGTATGCTCGTTCCGAGCTTGACCCGAGCTCCAAAAAGCGACCTCCAGCGCTTACCCAACCAGGGGTCCCCCTCGCCTTTAATTCTCCCAACTTTGCCCATTAAAGTAATCAAAAGAACAAATGTCAAGATAAAGAATACTGTATTGGTTATAAAGTACGTGGCATCTAATGGAGCACAAAGGCAAACACGGGTAAGGTAGACAATAACAGCGTTGAGGCAGGCATGGCGTGCGCACTGCAGCGTGAGAAGGCAAAAAGTGGCACCGGGGAGAGCTTAGGGACTATCGGGCCCCGGAGCTGATCGATAATCAATTGCGAGTATGCGCGGCCGCTTGCGGCCTTCGCGACACGGGCACAGCCGACCCAAGAACCAATCAAATCGCGAGTTGGCTAAAGACCCACTACCCCCCTAGAGTACGCGGGCTCGCGGCCAGCTCGCTTGCTATTAGGGAGGAGTACTCCTGGAGACAGCGACTGGCGTGACTGAAGCCACGTCTACGCGCCCCACATGCGTGCTGGGCCTAGACTCTATGCGATGTAGTCAAGGGGCCACAAGCGTCCCGCGATATTTTTGTGACCATCGCGCTTCTCTCACCCAGGGAAGGGAGGAGGGTGCGTGCGGCTCTGCTTTGAACGGGCGGTTTACTATACTTACGTGGGCAATCGAGCAATCCCTGTTATTTGCGTTTTCGACCATTTACGGCCCCTCCTGCCATCTTTTCGCATCCTAAAGCAGTGGGCGCGGCAAATTCACTATCTATGCCATTTCTCCTCTCTATCTCCTGCTTAGATTCCCCGAAATAATGTGGCAACAGTTCAGCTGGGCGCCACCGTCCTCGAGGGTGTCAGTCGTCTCCGCAATTCTCTCATCGATGGGGACGTTCTGGTCTACAACCTCAACTACGGCTTCACTTGTCACCAGCTGGGCAACGGTTGCATCGCAGTTCAACTCTCACAGCCCTTCCTCGTCTCCTCGATGCGGTTAGTGCGCGAATTCTCGGCACTCTTTTTTTCACCATCCCCCCTCCCCTTCCCCCATTTTGAGTAGTCTAGAAGCCTTCAGAAAGCGTAAGAATGCTGATCGGCCTTTTGATAGATGTATTGCTGCATTAGTTTAAGAGAGTCATCTATAATTTGCAACTAGTTGCACAAGGTGAGATTTTAGGTAAGAATTTCAGGTAGGACTGACATGTCGACGTATAAACGGGACATGAGAATAGGAACTCCCTGTAACACGGGTGGCTTTGAGTCAACTTCCAGTGAACGTAGGGCTAGGTTTAAGGTTAGGTTAAGGATTAGGTTTAGGGTGGGGTTAGGATCAAGTTTGGGGCAACGGTTTAGTTTTATACTAGGGTTATTGTTGGAGTCAGGACACGGAAATCTCTTGCCCTTCCCGAAATTACGCTTAGGTCCACCTTTTTTACTTGGGTGGGGCGTACCTATTTCCATGTCCTGTTTAGACGTCCACATAAGTCAGTCCCGCCGAATTTTGAATATGCATGAGTGAGGTCTTAAAAAAAACCTGAAGAACGGTGGCGAGATCCGCACTACCTAACTCCTTGTGAGAGCGGCGTTCACCCGTTGAGGCTTATTGGAACGCGTTCTGACTTGCAGCTGCAATCCAATGCCCGCGTGGACGGTTGCCTAGCCATGGAGTAACCAGTACTCGATAAGTACCAGAATGTCAATTTCCGTTCTGTCGACAACCGACCTGCGATCGGGCTATGACTGACTAATGAGGGCAAATACCCCAAAAATATCCATCCTTTTTCCCCTTTCCTTTGTTCAGTATCAATTCTGTATATAGAGAGAAGCAAGATCGACGCCGTAGAATCTATACTCACTACAGCTCAACGCATTCCTCACTATAAAAAACCTGAGTCGCCTTTAAACTATCACAGTGCGCTAAAAGCCGTAGCTTGGAAGGCTACTAACTGACAGGATAACTCAGTACTCGTGATGGAGAATCAGACTGCAATGGCTTCTTCTGTATATGACCCCTATGGCGCCCCCTACTCAGTTGAGATTCAGCTGCCCCCCCCCCCGACGTCTGCCCTGTTGCACTCTTACTGAGCTGCCTACGTATTGTATGTGGTATATGTCCTATGGCAAAAAGTTCGTTTTCGCCAGTAGCAAGCTGGCGGGTGGACAAAATGGGATCAAGTGAGATCCTAGTCGCAGCAGTGAGGGCCACACGCTCACTCAACAAGTTCTGTTTTTTGGATGCAGAAAATTGGTTTGCTAAGTGTGGACGACTTTTCCCACCATCCGATTTATTCTCCGGGGCGTGATAAGGGCTCACCAAATGAGCACAGTCTAATAACCGTTAAGCATTTGTTGGCGCGACTACATTGAAAAGGAATAGCTGTCCTAGCTTTTTTGTTAACAAGAATTACCAGTAGATTTTGCTGAAAGTTGGCTTCTTGCGCAAGATGACTTCCTAGTCAACGTTTTTTGCCGCAGCCTATTTAGAGAAGGGCCTGAGCATTTCCCAAAAGAAGTTCTCACAAACGAGATGCGTGCACCATGAACCTTTTTTCCTTGCTTACGTTTAGAAATGCTGCAATTGCCGAATTTAGGAGTCATTCCGGATGGCTGGCGATCAAAAACGACCGTATGGTCCCTTGTGCCCGACAAAAGACGCGTTTATTCCCATGAAGGCGGGTTGGCTGACGAAACCACAGTCGTAGTTGTCTGAGCTTTTAGACTCACGTAAAGGCCTATCATCCAAGAGGCGCCGAGTAAATCCGTCGAGGAAAAGTGGAGTTGCGTCATTTGGCAGTGAGATCACTTGTCTGTTTTGATGAGCCTCTCCCCCCCCCGGGTCTGAAGCGTAGGACATACAGAACTTTGGGTAAGATCTTACTTCGTAGCCGTACCTGTTAGGGGTTGGAACTAGGGGTTAGGAGTTGGGGTTAGGGATTATGGATCAGGGCTAGGAGTTAAAAGTTAGGCTTGGACTTGTCTACTTCAAGTACGGCTACGAAATATGATCCGACCAAACTTTGGTCTAATCCATCCACCCGCCTTCAAGTTCTTTTAATCTGTGACCTCACGCTTGTATCTTATGACCCCCCCCCCTTTCTGTCCTGCATTCGTTACTTTTTCCCTTGCGTCCTGTCCCCCTCACTGCACACAGATTCTTGCTCTGGGATCTGGACAGTCGGGCCTATAGCTACACCGTGGAAGTATCACTGGACCGTCAGGTCTGGCGCATGGTTTTCGACGCCAGCATGATGCACTGCCGCTCCTGGCAGACCATCAAGTTCCCTCTGCAACCGGTCACCTTTATTCGCGTTACTGGCACCGGAAACACCGCAAACAACGTGAGTTCCAACAACCCCCCCCCCTGCAGTCTCCCCGACGCCATCTGTATGGGCGGCCTCAATCATACAGGCGACGAACAGGCCTGACGGCCCCGTCCGATGGCCCGTCTATAATTATCGTTCCGAAAAGACTAGCCTCGACGACGTTGTTTTGGCGCGGCTGGTGGTCTTTTTCAGCCTTACTCTAAAAGTGCAGTCTGGCTTTTAGCAGACAGCTTTCTATGTCAGCGTGCCAACTTTTAGACTGTTCCATGTGCTAACACTCCCAAGGGAAAGAGAGTGGGACTCTGCTTATTCCACCTGACGTTTCAGAAGCATAACGGTTTCCATGATCGCATTTAGTTTTGGCGTGAAGTCTCTGCATCTGGGTTATCCTTGACCGGAGTAGCACACCCTGGCCCCGCCGACGGGTTCTTGGGATCGTCGTGTAACGAACATTACTCGCACCCTGACGTTTTGGACGTGTGAAACGACCCTCAACAACGTCTTACGACTGTCAGTCGAATAGTTAAGAAGTGCGTTTGTCCGTCATATTTATGCGCATATTTACAGTCAGTGACCGATCCCATGAAATATTGGGTGAAATTCTGGAATGCGTTTTCGATTTGGAAGGTTTACTTGGACGCTCTTGTAATACTGATTATCTTGCAGCATAATCTTATAACATTTCGGACTCGGCAGGATGTCAGCTTTCGAATACACTGCTTTTCAATCTCCTGTAGGATCCGTGCTCGGTAAAAAAGTGGCTACTTAAGTAGCATGCATTTTTCCCATTGATTTTCGGTGGTCTTGCAAATTCAAATATATCTTATAGAAACCATAAACAAAAATATGCTTTCTTTCAGTCTTTTGATAGAGAATCACGTCTTCTTTATATTTTATACTCAAGGAAGGAGTATAATTAGGTTTTTAAAAAGTTTTCTAATTGCCGAATAAATTTGAGCCTGATCATTCGCTGCATTAGCGCTTATTGATTTCATTCTACAAGGTACACGCTTTCCGCGTAAAGAAAATCACATATTTTTGTGTGCCATTAAAAAGATATCATACAGAGTCCATAAAAGCTTGCAATGGAAACGGACTAGGTTGTACATTTCCTGAGGAGCTGTGGTAAACGGCAAGGTACGATGCTATGTGAGTGGACACTGCGAGGTCTTAAAAAATCTCATAATTAGAAACTTTTCAAAAACTTAATTATAGTCCTTCCTTGAGTATAAAATATACAGAAGACGTGATTCTCTGTTGATTGACTAAAAGAAAGCATATTTTTGTTTATGGTTTCTATAAAATATATTGGAATTTCCGAGACCACCGAAAATCAATGGGAAAAGTGCATGCTCCTTATGTAGTCATTTTTACCGAGTGCTGTTTCTACAGGAGATTGAAAAGCAGTGTATTCGAAAGCTGACATCCTGCCGAGTCCGAAATGTTATAAGATTATGCCGCAAGATAATCAGTATTACAAGCGCGACGAAGTAATCCTTCCAAATCGAAAACGCATTTCAGAATTTCAGCCAACATTTCATGAGATCGGTCACTCACTGTACACGTGTTATTGGGGGACAGATGAGGAAGGACTAAGCCAGGCATCAACCGTTACCCTTAACTGTGCTGAACGCCACTGTTGGCCATAAAACCGACCGCTCAGTGTACCCAACTTTCAATTAGTCTACCTCAAATAGACCAAAATAGTGGACTAACTCGTTCTCTCACATCTGGTAGACTCGCACTTGGGCATTAATTCAACTTCAAGTCGTCTCTGCGTGCTGGCAGCGAAGCAGTCACGGCGGCTAGGTTATTATTCCTTGAAGGTAATGCCAAACACGTTCTGTTGGACTGAAGACTGGGAGATCTGGCTGGCCATTAGAGACGTCTGATGCTGTGAGAACATCTGAAATTCCGACCTGTGTTATGTTCATAAGCCGGTGCATTATACTTGTGGAAGACTGATCCCTCACAATGTCAATAGGATTATGTTATTACCGACAAAGATAAGGGAGACAAAGAGACAGTCTCCCTTGTCTTCATCAGTAATGACATTCTGCCTATATCATGCGCCGCTGTGCGGCTGCTGGTTGGGATCCAGAGAGAGCCCGTAAGGCACTACGGAACGAGTGAGTTCCGTAAGAACGATCGGTGAGCGTCCTGCCACCATTGTATATTCCCGATCGAAGCCGGCAGGGAAACGGGCTCGTGGTCTAGTGGTTAGAGGCGTGGACTTCTAACTAACAGATCGCGAGTTCGAGCCCCAAGTTCTCTACACTTGACTGGCTGACGACGGCTAATTAGCCAGAAATGGCCATTCTAGTCTTCCTTGTCTTTGTCGGTAATGCCATTCTGCCTATATCATGCGCTGCTGTGCGGCTGCTGGTTGGGTTCGAGAGAGAGAGAGAGAGAGAGCCCTTAAGGCACAACGGAACGAGTGAGTTCCGTAAGAACGATCGGTGAGCACCCCTTACCATCCTCAATAGTATTGAAAGTAGATGTAATCGCAGTACCTCTGTATAAGCGCAGCCAAACTGTTTTACTTCTGAGCTCGAGACAGCCGCTTAAATCTGCATGGAAACTGCGCTACCTTACACGGTTAAATTAGTCATTCCATCGACCTTGGAGGCTTTCTCATGGCTGCCTAATGCGCAAGACGTTCTTAGCAGCCGGCCGATGATTTCCTCATTCCTATTTGGGTTCCTAGAATTGAGAAGCCATTACTTATTTGGCTCAGTATCATGTGGGATTATTATGAGACAGTCTGCATGGAACCGACTCCACCTTACGCAGTTGAGTTACTCATCCCTTGCCAGAGTCTTTCGCCTTCAAATCAGAACTCGTGCCTCCATCTGTCTCAGCCAAAATCATGGTTAATCGGGCCAGGCACCTTTGCTCCATCGAGGAGAACACCACATCCGCTGTCGCGCAGCCCACCCGAAGCCAGTTTCCACTGAACTAGGCCGTTTTAGGTGTCCTTTTTGCCTTTAGGTGACATTCATTCCATACCGTTCTTTCGGTTCGACTAGGTGCAATCACTAGCGTCCGAAATGACCCTTACCTCGGAATGCCAGAAAGGCGGCCAGATCGTACAGGGTCCGAACGGGTTGCAGGGGGCAGATTCACTCGACTGACTGATTGTCGCGTACAACCCTTCAAACTCCTGAATGTTATAGTCTATGGGAATCTGGAAATACTACAGTAAATTGGTCCTCATGAGCCCTATTCGACTGGAAACGTTCCGCCTGGTTACCTATTTCACATGCTTGTCATGAGGTGTGCACATAGTCTCCGCGCCTAATGAGTTTTATTTCAAATTCCGAAGTTTGTTCTGAAGATGTGAGTTGTCTACCTCTTAGCCCTTGTTAAACACTTAATGTGGACACGTACTGACATTCCTCTTCCTTTTCCCCCTCCTCATCCTCCTTCCTCTCCCACAGGTGTTCCACTTGGTCCACCTTGAGTGTCCCGCCTCTACTCTCGATCCTGATGCGGTTGTTTCTGGCACCGCCGCTGTCGTGGACGCAGACGAGGTTTATGAATCCAACATCCAAGCCAGCGATCACAACGATTCACATGGCCATCTCCAACTGGAACAGATCATCGCCCCCATTGATCCTATATTCCCCCCTAGCGGTCAGCCGCCGTCTGTCCAGGCTCCGCGCGAGCATCGACAACTCGCTTTCCATCGCCTCAGAGGGAACGGTCGCGCAGGCCAGACAACCGCCGCCGTCGTCGCATCGCGCACACGGCCATCACAGCAGACTACCGGTGATCATCTGCCGCCTGCGGAGCCTCCGCAATTTGACCTGCGCAACTTTTCACTCACCAGTGATCATCACCACCGCGGCTCGACCTGTTGCTCCCCCGCTCTGAAGCCCTATCAGGCCGCCCTCGAGCCGTGTAGGATTGTACACGCGACGCCATCTTCCTCCTCCTTGCAGGCCCTTTCTTCCCGTACCACCTCCCTCTCCTCTATCCGACCCCAGTCGGGTGACGAGGAGGACAGTGTGCTGCTGGCTGCCGAGTCCTCGCAATTCGATCATGCCTCGGCGTCGGCAGTAGCTGCTGCAGGGACTTCTGCGACCTCCTGCTCCTCCCCGCAACTCCCCTCCGCGGCAACACCCTCGGGTCGCTGTGGTAGCAAAAGCAGTGAATCCAGCGAGAGCCTGGGCTCTGCCACCAGCCCCGCCGGTCAACGCGACTTCGCGGGAGGGTGAATGAGAAGAGGGGAATAGCCACGTTGAGGACGATTACTACTTCTTCTTTCGACCACTTTCCGCTGATCACTTTCGCGGTTCTACAACGAAATCTCTTCTCTGTTCTCCCTTTCCTCTTCCTCTTGGAGGGAGAACCCCGTGATATGTGCCATATGCTTATCTTGCTCTTTTACTCTTATACAATTCATCGTCTTCTGGTGAATTTACTTTTCGGACACCATCAACAACACTGCCAATTATTCGCTCTCGCCTTCCTTCTTGTCCATTTGCGTGCAAACTCGGATGTGTGCATCCCTTTTTTACTTCTTAGTCGTCCTCCTGGGATGCCTCTTCATGGTTGCCCAATGCACAAGACATTATCACCAGATGACCGATGATCTCCTCATTCCTATTTGAGGTCTTAGAATTGAAAAACCATTATCTATTTGGCTTAGCATCATCTGGGATCACTATGGTGAACTGACGATGGTCAGGTAACGACTCACTAAGGCAGTGATCGCTGTCACTACGCCTCGGCAGTTGCATGCTTGTGCGCGCTGCCTATCCGGACACCGATCACTGATCAGTCAGTTAATAGCTGGGTTCTCGAGCGATTTACTTATACCGCTTTCGGCGGCCGTTTCCAAGGTGTCCAGTCAACTTTGGTTGCTCGGCTTCCGGCGTTTTTGGATGGCCAACCTTTATGCTAGGCCTCTAGCCGACCACGAACACATTCATCCTGTGGCGAATTCATGAACAACGCACTTTGTAAAGAGCGCCCCTCAGGTGCGGTCTCCCTGTATTTGGATTGCTTTGTTTCCGGAAGGCGTGAGATGTCATACCGGGTCACCACCCCGCCCCCCTGGCAAAAGCCTGGCCGGAATGGCCATCCCGATCCGTATTGCCTTGAACACGTTCATCCTGTGGCGAATGCATGAACAACGCACTTTGTAAAGAGCGCCTGACATGTGCGGTCTCCCTGTATTTGGATTGCTTTGTACCCGGAAGGCGTGAGACGCCATACCGAGTTGCCACCCGTCTCCCCCCAGCAAAAGTCTGCCTCCAATTTAGCGAACTGGTCATTCGCCCATACGTCATTACAGGCAAGCGATCGTTTTGAACAAAGCAGTCTCCAAACCCGCACAGTTGCACGTGTACGATTCGGTAGAAGTGTTAGTTAAGTGAAAGGTTCAACCGTGGTGGCAGGGCAGGGAGAGAAAAACCGTTGGTATGAGGGAGGATAGGGGGAGGGAGTATCGGTGACGCTAAGTGACATGGGGCGCAGGGAGGAGGCAAGAGTCCATATCTACATGCTGGAAAGTGGTAGTGAGCCAATCTGCCGTCGGGTGAGAGCAGACGATCACACTGTGTAAGTTCTGCAACACCGAAGAGGTCAACGGCGGTCGGATTGTGTAAACAGATGGCGACCGCCTATGCCGTCGCAGAATACGCCCATTCATGCTCACTGCAACACACTCGGGAATCCATATTTAGCTCGTGGAATTCGTAAAAGTGGACTGCATGCATAGCGGTCATTCGCCTATACGTCAGTATAGATCGTTTTCAACAATTAATCGTCAAGCCTCTACAAATACAGTAGGTGACATATCATGAGGTGTGTCGTCCTCCCAAGTAGCCTGAAGTGGTAAGTCCATCGACTCCACACGCCTCGACCACTTCGAAAAAAGTCTTTCCGATGCCGTAACAGTAACTGACGCGTTCAACGTTCGCTGATAGTTCAAAGTTCTTTTATATTATCAACCAGCTCGCAACATTTCAGGCAAGCAAACCATGTAGGTACGTGTATAATTCGTAATTTTGGTTTAACTATTCGCGGACATTATCTCCACGCCTGCCTCCTTTTCGTTAGGCGTTTCCGAAATGCCCTAAGATAGGGTACAGAGCTCCCGAGACTAGAATTCTACAAACTTACGATTGCAACAGACTGAATTGCCCCCTCCTCCTACTCCTCCTCATGGTATATGTAATTCAGTCGTTCATCCCCCATTTGGTTTGCATATGACTATTATTGGCTGAAGGATGAAGGTGAATGAACATTCCCCAGTGATGGACTTGGCAACGATAGGGTGTAGGACATACAACTTACTTGAACTAATCGGTGGGCCGTGCCATACGTTGAATCGTGGTAGAGGGGGTTTTACGGGTGAGGCCACACACGGGACGGGAAGCGAGAGGACACAGAAAATGGATAAATTTCTGCCGATAGTCTTATCGTGCACTGTTATTTGGCAAAGGATGTGGACGCTACAGTAGAAAAAGAACAAACAAAAAGCGATTTTATAAAAAATAACGGGCTTTGAAAAAGCGCCGCTGGTAAGCCAACATCTAGTCAGGATTGGGAAGGCAATTTCAAACAATGGCAACGGTTGTGATGTTTACAGTCACATTGAATTTTAAGGCGTATTTTTGTTGTTACTATCTAACTGTGGGTCCTGCACCCTATCGTTACAATGAACTCGTCGAAACAGGTATGGAGGAATCGTTAAGGGCTGGTTTGTTATGCAATAAATACCAGGTGCACAGTGTATTTGATTTGATTAAACAGAATAGTGCCTGTCGCTTTCTAATTTCCTCAGAAATTATCTACGAAGCGGGAGTAGATCAGTTTATTCAAGGTCTATAGGCACCGACCGAGAATTTTTTATACATGAATATTTGGGCCAAAGTCAATCAGTCATAGCGGGTAACCGCGTAATACTCAACTGCTCCAACTTCGAAGATAATTTCTGAGGAAATTAAAAAGCGACAATTTCTAAATTGGAGTATTTACAGAAAACACGTGGAGAATGCTGGGGGACCCACTGACGAGCCTAACCCCTCGCAGCTACGCCATGCGGCGACAAAATACCGGCGAAACACGCGTGCATGGGCTTTTGGATAGTACCTGTGTTGTTAGTATGGTATCACCTTACCCTAAAGAATACCGCCTCCCAGAGCGCCTATTCGGCTGCTGGCCTGCATCAGTCAGGCTCGACGGTTGGGCAAATTAATCGATATTCTACTAGCCTTGCCTCGTGGAAAGAAACTCATACTATCCAGGATGACTGTCATGCTTCGCCATACCAAAATGGCAGTGAGACCAACTCAAGCCACACGTCCGTGTGGTGGCAGGGAGTCCGCATGGTCCCATCGCCACTGCCGTGCATCCGTGTAGTGGCACGTCTCAGACGTCGGCCCACATGCCGCGTCAATCACTGCGTCCAGTCCCACTGTCCGTTCGTTGACAAGCTCGGACAGCCGACCGGTGTAGCATAGGAGAGAGGAGAGAGAATGAGGTCGACACTAGAGAATTCAAATTAACGATAGATCAGCGCATTCCTCACTGTAGTAAACTAGGCGTTTTATGATCGATCACGACGCGCTAAGACTCGTAACTTGCGCCAACCGACGGGACAGGTTGATCCTTCGTGGGACTGAGAGTCGGGCTGCAAGTGTTCCCTCTTAATGTGGTCTCTTTGACGCTCTCAGACGTGTGAACTCGGGGCGACCTTGGCAGTAGCTTGATACATTATAGTTCAACCGTCGAGTACGACAACGTCCACCGTGTGCTACACAGAGAGGTGCATCAGGCACGTCAACTTGCGCGGCATCAACTGCACTCTCTCTTCCTCACTCCCAGCCTGGACCCGGTGTCAAGATAGAGCCTGCGTGTTATCACGCACTCCGCTCACGCAACCGCGAAGTACAAATGGCGTCACCACGCCGGGGAACCATTGTAGACCAGACGGCACATCTCAGACCTATCCATGGACGTAGCCCCCCTTCACAGCCCAACGATATAAATGTTCACACATTGCTGCACTCTCTGATAACGAACTCCAGTTCGAGTTCGAAAGCTAAGGTCAATAAATCTACCGTTCCAGTGATCGAACCTTCGTCCTCTTTTAAACAAGAACCTGGGATGCGCATATTCTCTTCCATTCGAGAGTCGAGAATACCGGACGTGCGGGAGGGCGCAGGCGGATGGCACGGTCGAGCCGGCACCTAGGCATGCCCCCACACCGCCTGGTCCACAACATACAATTGACCAGGATTTTTCACCAACAACAATACCTTAACAGGGTTCGGAAGGACGAAGATGAATGAACAGCCCACCACCTGTACACCCAGCGGGAGCGCGAGCGCATCTACCGACAGGGAACCAGGTGTCATGGAACTGCCAGTGCATACCAGGCTGCGAGGCCCATAGTTTGCCGATACTGGCATAGCACACGCTCCCAGACCTTTTGGCTTGGTACATATGGAGTGGAAGCCAGGCATGCGCAAGCGAACGTTTTTACATGGTCAGTCCCTGAGCCCGCGTCCACGTATAGTCGCTTGGACTTTGCCTTGCAATCGGAGCACGGTGGTTGCGGGAGGAGAGGGTGTGGTAGATGCAGCGCAAGTCACAGGGGTTGTGCCCCCTATATCGGTAACGCAGTGGACTTAGTCTCTTGCGATGGTCGAACTGTCGATCGTGTCTTGTGATCAGAGCATTAGGTGTTGTACTGAAAGTTGAATGTCTAATTACCACTTCAGTAATTTATTTCATAGCTTCTACATTGCAAATGAACATTCATCACCATGTTTATTCCATTTGCGTGTTCGATTTCATGCCTCTAAAGTAATTAATGCATCAAATGGAACTTTTAGTACTGTCAAAGGTTTCAGTCGGCTCTGCAGACTTGAAACGTTTACCGACTCTATTTTTCGCAAGCGGGAAGCAGGTCAGGGGCAGCATAGGAGCTCTAAAGCCTTCCGACGACGTGATCTCCACCCGCCAGTTTTGTTTGATCGGGAGCCGGCTGAGAACAGACTACTGACGACGCCGCAAAGGCAGGGCTTATTCAAGTACGCACGAGGTCGCGCATTCGGCCAAATAAATTCGAGGAGGCTGCGTACAGCGAGCTGCTGCCAAAACCACTGGACGCCGGTGGCCGTCCTAAGGCGACATCCCTTGGGGACAGCGATTAGAGGTAACTGGTCAGCTCCTGGTGCTCATACGAATGCGTGACCCCAGC